CTATATTTCAAGAATCGACAAGACATGATTTTCAGTTTTTTTAGTTTTCTTTTACATTTTGTACATGTGGGGCACATACGGACATTACAGGGTGGGGCACATTCGGACTATTAACTTCTCATGCTGGGAATGCTCGCATGGGTAAATTTTTAAAATTCAACTTACATTTTGGTTCTTTTAATGTAAAATAAATTCTTTTATACTTTAATAATAGAAACATGTTTAATTTACGTTTTTTTGTCATTATTTATTTTTGTTATTTTTATATTATTTATTTTTGTAGGCTAGTGCCAAAGTTTTTAGGTTTGTATGTTTGGAGTTTCTTTAGACTATATGAATTTTGATGTTTAGATAGATGCTTAATTATTTAAAATATACCTGTCAAAAAATAAGCTGTTTTTAAGGTATATGCCCGGAGTTACCCCATGCGTGTCCAAAACTGCCCCACCGCGTGGGGCACCTTCGGACAAATGACAACTTTTTTTTATTTTAATTTTCACGAAAAACAGTGCAAGTTTTTTTCTGAAACTGTTATGGTATTGGTTTAAAAACATATGAAGCAATATATTTGCATTTTTAGAATAATTAGTTTAGCTAAAATAAAAGTTCGGTATCACCTTTTAACCAAATCTGTCCGAACCTGCCCCACTCTACCCTAATTCGCGCGATAAGTACCTACTATCGGTATTGGTGAATCCCAGGATTCCCAAGTCCATTTAAACTATGATTAGTGTGAGCCCTGCGTTGTTGCGCGCAACGCAATGTTTTTGTTATAATGTTAAATATTATTGATAAAATTGAGTATATTTTAATCATGCCAAAACGGAAGTGCGTAGTAACGGAAAAAAAGCGTTCCCTTCCAAAAAATGAAAAGTCAATTCCTATGTCTTATGCATCGTATGCAATACAAATTTGATTTGAGTGTTGCTCATAAAGGCAAAAAATACATAATTTCATCCTTGATAAAAAATTTAAATAATTTTTCGGCGACGTCCGGATTTTGTCCGGATTTCTTGACTCCTTTGTCCTGAATTCCGAAGAACCTTTATGGAAACCCTAAATATTGTATAAGCTTTGATATTTCTTCACATTTACCCTAATTATAAAATTGTTTGCTAGAAACACAATCACATAATAAAAATAGCATTTATTTTAGATTTCAAGCAATTCAAGATTCAAAAGTAAATAAATATCAATTATTTTATTGTAGTATTCTTATTGAAAAAATGATTTGGCAACATTGGCAACCCGCGCTTGATTGTCGATTTTGATTTCTGCTTTCTGCCGGTTTTGCCATTTGCTTTCGATATTTCATATAGAGCAATATACATTCTTAGTTAATTTTAAAAGCCATTGCAATAGAGCAACTCTGCCAGTGAAAACAAGCAAAAAAAGCCAAACGTATCTAGAAACACTTGGTAGATATGTATACTTTATTCACTTATCAATCACTTGCATAGCATAATTGAAATATGAGAATAGAAATTACTCTGCAGCATTTTTTGAACTGTAAACAATACTATTTTTCCACCAGTTTAAGTTGTCAGTAAATCAATATATATTATAAAAATTCCATCAAACTCTCCTTCTCCTTACGCAGAGTAAATGTAAACAACCGAACTTAACCTTATATTTTCTCTGTCACTTTTCCAAATTTGCGGCCAATAAGAGGCCATGCAAGACAAAAGAAAGATAAAGCTCATAGGAGATCTGCGTGTTAAACAAAGAAAGACGATTTAAGTATGTCTTGGATATGTTGTCAACATAATTGTTGGCTTTCGCTGTATCCATATGTGAATAACATATACAGTGAGGGGCAGGCTACTAGGTATATAGGATATAACTTGACGAATTTGCAGGCGTTCGCATGTGGCAAAATGACAAATATATTTAGTGCTAAAGGGTCATTTACATCCACTTAACTTAACTTGACGTACGGAAAATTAATAATAAAAAAAATTTGAAGATCACATAGTTGTTACATCCACTTAAAAATTAAGAAAATTAACGTGATACACGAAAAGTTGAACCAACTTAAGAAAATCCGTGCAATAAATAATAATTTCCATTTCTGTGCATATAATTTGACTTGACAGTTCAGGTTATAAGTGCGCATACGTTATGTAAGATAATTTACTTCATTGTTAACAGACACCTTCTCAGTTTCGTACGTTAGTTATAATTTTCCGTACCTTAAGTTAAGTTAAGTGGATGTGAATGACCCTTAACTCATGACAACCAGGTAAAAACAAAACGTGAAAAGACTTGTCACTCAAAAAACTAAGGCTAAAGACACAATGGCTGAGATACGTTTTCGGATACGAGACTAGGCCCGTAACTATGCGGACTACGAAACCACCGTATCTATTCTGCGCGTGCGCAGATCGATGCGGAGGCGAATACATATAAAAATTCAGGATAAGCAAGTAGACACTTTAAGCAGGTCCTGAATTTCAAACGTAGGTATCTAACGCAGGATAGATAGTAAATACGGTGGTCTCGTTGCGTTACGTTGTCCGTATCGTTACGGGCCTAGCCTCATATCTGTATCCGAAAACGTATCTCAATCATTTGACACTATTGAGGGATCTACCTGTCAGTTATTACTAAAATAACTTCAAGAACATAAACACAGTACTTATGGATAAAAATAAAACCTACAAACACAGCTACAAAATCAAAACAAAACTTTTTGTGGTTAGAAAACGTGTCATCCAAGGATACGATCGTTTACGTAATGTATGACCATGAAAGGACTTTTAGGCGGTCAACGTAACTCGATGCGTTCACAGAAGCGGATACGGATACGTAGGAATATTTAGGGTTTGCTTAAAGTGTCTAGTGTCTACATTGATAACCAACGCTTAGCTATTTGCACGCGTAAACTTAATAATTATAAATAAATAAAGCTTGACGAAATATCTGAAAGCATGGCGCAGATGCTACATTTTGCACAACGTTTTGTCTGCATACAGTTAAACACTTAGAGCAGGTAAAGCGCTGTCCTACGGACATAAGGAGTAGGAACGAGCCATTCTGCTATGACACTAAAGTGAAGCCAGTTTTTGGCAGGTGTTTGTACACCAAATGACAGGTAAAGAATTGAATTACCTATACCGCCATTATTTTGGATCTCAAAATACCTGGAAAAATACGGCTTCAAATTCCAACTTTATGTTCCTACTCCTCCCACCTAGGAAATTACCTGCTCTAAGGTTAAACACGTTGCAGACAAAACGTTTTGATCAATAAGCTGAACCGTAGCGTCTGAACCGTGCTTAAGTCTGTATCTAAATCGTACTGAAGTAAACAAACGTCAAAGTTGTTGAACGAACGACAGTGACAGGGGTTCAAACGGCTGCGGACGGTGGTAAATTCGTCAAGTTGGATCCTATATACCTAGTAGCCTGCCCCTTACTGTATATATTATATGATCTAAGGGTCGATACAACAAAATAATTTACCAGAAAAAGCACAAACATGCAAGCATAATACACACTACTAAGGATTGCTTATCGGCCTCGTTTTTGATAATCGCCGCTATATTGGTGTGTCACCATTTCCGACATCAGAACTAAGTCGTCAGTTGTTTGCATTAGCGGTCGTAGTTCAGAATTTAAATTTAAGTCTTATGATGAAAAATTTTATTTAATTTTGATTAACATAATAGGCAAAGAGGAAGATGAAAACGAAATTTAAAAAAGAATGGTTTTAGAATGGTAATTAAGCTCGCGGAATCATAACCTGTAGTGCAAACAGCCTACGTCAAGGCGAGAAAGGACATGCTGCCTACGTCACAACCGGTGATTTGGCGTGGTGGGGGGTATCAGATTTGTTCTACACAGGCCTTATGAGGATAGGCTATCGGCTATCCTGTAGTAGTGAGTGTGTATTATCTTTGACTAACGTGAACGAAATTCTTTTAACGAATTTTGAACCCAAAGCCTGGGCTACAGCACACTAACTGTCAAGCTGACGCAGTGACGTAGCGAAAAATGGCGTTTCGTATTTTTTCTCATGCAACTTATTAACTAATTTTAATAAAAATTAAATTTGTTGGTAAAATGATTGGAATATTTGCCAAATATACAATTTGCCTCAAAATCCTTCAAATTCGAATAAAAACCTTCAATCCTTCAGTAGTCAAAATTTTAGACCAAAACTCTTCATATTGAAGGAAATCCTTCAATTCTGGCAACACTGCTAAAAGACCTACAGGGTTGTATAATGGCTCATTTTAAAGCTTGTTCAATGCTCTAAAACTATTGCCCATAGTAGCAAAACCATCCGATCATTAGTTTTCGAAATACAGTGAAATAAACAAAAAAAAACCCTATTTTTGCACTAAATATTGTTTATAAAATCTCCTAAAATTAATTAGATGTTGCATCTTTGGTTTTTAGCATCTATAAATGATCCTTAACAATACTGCATCCATAGTTTGCTGTTAAATTTTATGTTACGAAAAAATTTATCTGCCCTGGCCTAAACCGCGAGTCGACTTGAGGATGCTACCTTTATCTCAGATATCTTCAACATATCGAGTAGTTGACTGCTAGTTGAATTGAGATAATTGTTATGACGTTGATTGTTTATGAGCTTGTTGTCGTCGCTAATAGGATTTTTTTTTAGAGTTATTTTCGATTCTTTCCGTTGAATTTAATTTAGCTTTCAGATTAATTTCATCAAATAACTTTTGAATTTTAACAAACGTAAACTTCTATATTTCATATTTTTTGTAGGCACGATTCAATTGTTAAAAAGGTTAAAAATTACTGGTTCTGGAACGGTTCTCATGTCGGTTGGAACAGAGCTTTTATTATTCTAAATCGGGATGCTTCACCACGACGACGAGACAAAGCGTAGTTTATCGATTGAGCAAACAGAGCATGTGACGCAGTAGACTCTAACTTTAGGTATCTGTATCTGTCCTCCTTTCTCCCGGCTCTCGCTGATGCTTTTTCCCCCCTTTCTCCAAAAACAAAATTTTAGGCGCCTTATTGTCCTCGCGGCCATCGAAATGTTTTCAAGGAAACCTGAACGTGCTGAAAACTGATCCCGATAAACTATACTAAATTGTGTGAAATTTTTATTCTGAATCAACTTTCATATTTTAAAAAATTAAATTTTACAATTTTTCCCGAAATGGGCTTAACATTCACCAAACTGGACCCCTACGAGGTAATAAAATAAGTCATACATATCATAGTTTAATACATAAAATTTTACTTTTAGCTAATAACTTTCAAAGAGCTTTCTCCAGATGTTCCTTTGGAGAACATTGAGGTTCCTGAAAGAGGTGAAAATAGAAAACCAACCGATTTTAAATGGCTTGTAACATTTGGTCTTGTCATATTATTATTCGTAAGCAACATGCATACATAATAATTATGTATGATTATTTTTGATAGTTATTTTCTAGCTTCCTTTTTTTATTTACACAATGTGCTATTCGGACATCACCAGGCTTACTGTAGGATATGACCAATGTGGCAATATTTGCGGAGAGAAAAATTCCCATTGGAGTGGAATTGATTGTTCTGGAAAGGATTTCACTGATTACCCGTAAGAAGTATCTCGAATCAGTTTAAAATATATTTTCCATTTATTTCTTTTAGATATTTAGAATTTCAAAATTCTAGTTCTGATGACACTTATTCAACAAACTACCTTCTAATGAATAGAAGCTGCGTACAAACTTGCAGATTGGGATAGTAAGCATGGGAATCCTTTAAAAATCTATTATTCTTCAGGTAATCAATTTCAGTACTCCACGAGAAGAAAGGTGCATTAAAATGTCAAACTTTAACGAAATTGATTCATCCTACGTAGATGAAAGCGACGATAACGATGTAGAGGAAAAATATGACGTTTCTCTTTACCTATCCAGCGTAAAATGGCAAATCACTGTGTCTTGTTTACTATCTTTACGTAAGTTTGTTCCTTCTAATTTGGACACCAAGTCAGAAAAAAAGGGGACAAATGCATATGAGGCCCGCAGAAACCAACATCAAGCACAGCATCCTATAATTGATCTTTTGCACTTGAATTTGATTTTCGTCTTTTGAAGCTTTAAACTGTCAGAGACTAGAGTCTCCCCTTAAAACAAAAAGAGCCTCATAGCTGTTTCTAGGACGTCTGAGGCGTCGCGGAAGAAACCTTTACTAAAATTTCAAAATCTATTAGTATTATAAAAAATAATAGAAATTCTTTCCATTTTCTTTCCAGACCAATCTATTCAATTTTGAATTGGGTGTCTGATGGCTATTTGCACGTCTTTCACTTGAGGCATATTTAATCTAAGTTGAGCTTTGAATATGACTTTTGTTTCTACAAGAGTCACATTCGAAGCTCAACTAGGATTAAATATCCCTTAAGTTGGAGCGGTGCAAATAGCCGTTTCCACCAACTATTTTAGGGAATCCTTAACTAAAATTATTCCCTAAAATGAAATTTTGACATGGAGAAATGTCAGTTTAAGGAATACTTATCGTTAAGGCTCCCCTAAAATAGTTAGTGGTGGAAACGCCCCATGAGTGTCTTTGAAGCTTATCGCTAATAAAATATCAAATCAAATTTGTAGTGGTATCCGTTGGTATGCTGTTCCTCTTCAGATTCTCTGTCCACATTGTAGTGTGGGGCACAATTTACGTCGGTCTAGGTGCTTTAGTTTTTTGGACTGTAGCAGCTTGGTAATAAATAGTTTCCAAAGAAGTACCAATTATTTCACTCTCATATTTTTTTTCCAGGTACTTTTATTTCACTGCCACATTTTATTCTACAGGCCATATTTTAGCCTACGCTCTACTAATGACGTTAATAACAATAGCCTTCTTAGTCCTATTGGTATGGTTTCGAACAAGAGTCCATTTAGTTATAATGATTTTAGGTGAAGCTGTTAAGGCTGTTTTTGATATGCCTGGATTGATAGTGGTTCCCATAACAGTATGTCAAATGTCAAATATGCATTAATTAATTTATTAATAAGACTTTTTTTTAGTCTACTTTAGCTATCTTTATTTTATCAATCATCTTTTTACTGACGATGGTTTCTATGCTATCAGCTGGTAACCTGGAAAACTTGGTATCGGATTACTATGTTTACATGCCAGATTCCACTATGACCTTTACTATTATTTACAATTGCGTCATCTACTTGTGGCTTACCCAATTTTTTACCGGTATTCAGTATATGGTTGTTGCTGGAGCTGTTTCTAAGTGGTATTTTGCTAGGTAAAAACCTTTCGTAGATTTTTTAAGTACTAATATGTTGTTATGTTTTCAGAGACAAGCTTTCTCTGAGAGCCCCCATATTCGATTCTCTAGCGATAACGTTCAAATTTCACTTAGGTTCAGTGGCAATCGGTTCTCTACTAATCACGCTAGTGCAAACGATTAAGATACTAATATTGTCATTGATCAAAAACCGGAGAATCCGATCACTTGTAGAATTTTGCATCGATCAAATAGAGACCTTTTTTAAATTCTTGTCTAAAAATGCTTATATTGTCACAGGTAAGGACACAAACTTTTTTTAACATAGATAATAATGTGGAAAATTAAAGCTATCCATGGTCAACCCTTCTTAAAATCCGGAAGAAGAGCTGCAAGATTATTAGCTCAAAACATTGGTGAAGTAATCGCGGTCAACTCTATAGGTGATTTTGTTTTGGGAATGGTCAAAGTTTTCATATTTCTTTTTACAATTCTACTATCCGTAATTATTTTTGCTATTTTTCCGAATCCATATGGAACTAGCAACATTCCAGCCTACATGATAATCGGAATTGTGGCCATTATAGTGGCATGTTTGAGTTTTGGAGTATTTGAGGTGCGTGTTCCACGTTTATTAGTTTATAATAGTTCAATTATTAATAGTTTTGATCTTTTTAGACTACAATTGATACTTTATTTGTGTGTTATTGTGAAGACAACTTACTCAATGATGGCATGAGTAAACCCTACTACATGTCAAATGAGTTTATGGGATTTATGGAAAAGTCGAGAGAAGTTTATGGGGAAAAAGAAGCACCACCACCTTCGTATGGTTTTGCGGTTGCTGTTTAAATTGCGGCTGATTAAAATGTAGTTTATATGTAGATTGAAAATTCTAGAACGGTGTTAATGTCCAAATAAGAAAAATTTAAGAGAGATTTAACTGATAGGTACCTACTTGATGGAAATCCATCAAAAATTTTGAAAGGAAAAACATTTTCTAGATTTCCACAATTTTGATTTAGATATAGACTCAATTAATTATTATTGTGGAAATCTAGAAACTTTTTTGATTCCTTTCAAAATAAGAAAAGTTTACTCATACATATATGTTTGACGTTAATTTTACGGTCCAAAGGAATACGAGACTTTGTGTTTATACATGAAAAAACTCTGATGTTGCCTATACTTTCTGCCATATTACAACTAGGACAAAAAGGAATTTACTTTAATAAAGTCAACTTTGTATTTTTGTCAGTATTGTTGATAAACAATTAAGCATGTCAGTTGAATAATAGATTATTTATTATACTATATTATATAAAGTACCTACCTCTAATTATGAATAAGATTTACGCTATACCTATTAATACCTATATTGATGACAATAATTAAATATAATGGCAATGAAATATATTTCAAACTATCGATTTTGTTTCGTTTTATCAATTCCATAAAAGTGATCCTTGTTGATATCATCATAGCTCTCGGCATCAGAAGTGAAATTTTGCACCAAAATTTGTATATACCTACCTATATATCACCGACAATGTGCAAAATATCTAGTAATTGTACCAATTCACCGATTCTTTAGACATTTTATATATCGACAAGCTATCTAGGCAGAGTTTGCATTTAAATAGACAGTACCTACCTACCTATCATTACCTATGTATTCCAGGAAGTCGGAAAAATATCTGGGTGCGATAGTCAATGTGCTTAATCAATAAGAATTCTCAACTCGCGTACTTTGGCATGGTGGGGGGGCTTTAGATTTTAACTACACAGGCCTTATGAGGATAGGCTATCCTGTGTAGGGTCAAGTGTGTAATATTCTTGGGTCTCTGCCAGTGGCGACGTGTAACAAGCAGTCTGGTGGGGGTAAATGGGAGGGAGATTCGGTGGGCGCTCCCTCGCGAACGCGCCGCAGGCGAAATTTTTTGCAAATTCCAAGGTCATTCACTTTTCCAGAACAATTATTTCCTTTGAGAGGAAAATAAAACAAAAAAAAGTATTTTCTTCAATATATTATTATGTATTTTCTTTTGGGCATCGTGATTTTTTACTTGATTATTGGATCCTGGATGGAAGGTAATTACCCCCATTACCACCCCCCCCCCCCCCCCCCCCGACGCGACGCCGTCTCTGCAACGTGCGTGCAACGGCCATAGAGAACCTGGTGGAACAGATGGATGATATACACGATTTTTCCTCGGATTTTTCTATCTCCTATAAGATGCAGCAAAAATAAATAAAAATAAATTGTTTTCACACGCGTATGACCATTGTAGTTTTAAAAAAATTGAGATTCAATTTTTTGAAGTTTAAACTTCTTCAAGCGCGTTCAGCATCTTTGTGACTATGAAACTGAACCGTCACGCTCGGCTAAGTATCGCTCATTCGGGTACAGTCGGCTCGATTCGACTTCAGCCAAGAGAGAGAAACAATCATTACATTTTTAACACTTATTTTTGAAAATAATTTTTTATTTTTTTTTCTTGAACGAAATTATTCTGAAATTGTCACTACAAGTATTATACGCAGCCACAAATTTTGCACTGTTCCGGAATTATTCTAGGATTGAACATAGGTTGGAACGGTTTCAAGAATTTCGGGTTTTTGAACATTTTAGATTTATATTTTCGCGTTTCAAACAGTGGCGGATCCAGGATTTTCTTCAGGGTGGCGGAGGGGGCGCAGGCTTAAAATTATTATCAACAATGATATCTTGAAAATTTATTTTTACTTTACTTATACGTTAAAGAATGTAGGTACGGTACAAGGTGGTCCAATTTGGACATTTTTGATATGAAACGTCAATTTCTGAGCCAGATACAAAAAAATGAACCCCCTACTCTGTGAACGCTCAAATTTCATGAAATCTTGAGTGGTGCAAACACTGCAAACCGCCTTTTGATACCCTCAACCGTTTTGCCGCTAGAATATGTTTCTCGATTTTGAGCAATAAGGTGAAACCTTCCTAACTTTTCTATTTATAAAAATAATTGATTTCTATATAAACTTTTTTCTACTGACGTTTCATAATAGCAACTTTTCGATTGTCATTTTAGTTTTGAAATGACATTCTTTTGAGCACTCAGTGCGTAAAAGTGACTTTTAGGCACTCAGTGCGTAAAAGTGACTTTCCAGTGCGTAAAAGTGACTTTCAAATGCGTAAAAGCGACTTTCAAGTGCGTAAAAGTAACTTTTAAGCACTAGTGCCTAAAAGTGTTATTCATTGTTCAGAAATAAAAAACACACTAAATGCAAATTTGAATTTTGTTTTGTATTTATTATGAATATTAGTCACCAACATGAAAGGTGTCAAGCAAAAGCAGGCGACAAACATTGAAATAAAATTGTGTTTTTTTATTATGAAACGTCAGTAGAAAAAATCTTGTATACAATACGTTACGAAACGAAATCTTTTAGTCACTCGACGTGTTGTCCAACTCGGCTTTGCCTCGTTGGACAATTTTCACGTCGCGTGCCTAAAAGACACTCATTTCGCAACTTATTTTTTCTATTTTGGTGTCATATCGAAGTCTTTTCGACACTAAAAGTAGTTTCGAAAAGAAGCTCTTTGTGACACTCTTTTTTTACTTATCGGAGGTTGGTAACACTGGCTGACTGATGGCCATCGAACTGTCATTCGTGATAAAAAATAATAGAATATTTCTATATTTGGCATGTAGTGTTGCCAACCTAAACATATGAAATCAGGAAATATGAGAATAAAATTTCCAAGAAAAGTTTGTTTTTTTCAATTAAACAATACCAAAATAGAAAAAATAGTATAAAATATTCGTTTCATAAGACATTTTATCGCACTCGCCCTTTAGAAAACTCGCCTCCGGCTCGTTTTCTAATATAGGGCTCGTGCGATAAAATGACGTCTTATGAAACTTGTATTTTAATGTACTATTTTCTATTTTGGTTCCATATCGAAGTCTTTTCGACACTAAAAGTAGTTTCGAAAAGAAGCTCTTTGTGACACTCCTTTTTTACTTATCGGAAGTTTGTAACACTGGCTGACTGATGGCCATCGAACTGTCATTTGCGATTTTATTATGGTAAAAATAAAAATAAAAAAGAAGATTTCTATATTTGGCATGTAATGTTACCAACCTAAACATGAAATCAGGAAATATGAGAATAAAGTTTCCAAGAAAAATTTGTTTTTTTTTAATTAAACAATACCAAAATAGAAAAAATAGTATAAAATATTCGTTTCATAAGACATTTTATCGCACTCGCCCTTTAGAAAACTCGCCTCCGGCTCGTTTTCTAATATAGGGCTCGTGCGATAAAATGACGTCTTATGAAACTTGTATTTTAATGTACTAGTATAAATAGCTATTATATGACGTACCTAATTTTTTATATTTTTCTTAGTTTTTTTGAAATAAAAAACCCTAGGTATATATTAATAACTCATTGATAGCTCTATTATTGCTTATTTCAATGATACATCATATAAGGTTTAATAGGTCTATTTCTAATAGTTTTCTAGAAAAAAAAAAATTATAGATGTTTCAGTCAAAAGAAACAATGTGTTAGAAAGAGACCTATCTCATTTTCCCTATAGATATAAACTCCTCTTTTAACAGATTGTTTCTTATAACAAAAACAGATATAATTTTTTTGATGGAAAACTGTTAGAGATAAACCGATCAAACTTTATATCATTGAAAGCAGCAAAAAGAGAGCTATCCAATCAGTTATTAATATACAGGGTGAGTTATTAAGCGCGCGGTGGTCCATATCTCCATACAAAATTTGTAGATAAACATGAGTACTACCCAGGGCCGTCGCTAGGCTTTTGGCCGCCCCGGGCAAAAATTGAAAATCTGCTGCCCCCCGCTCCTCCACATGCTCGCCGCAGGCGCCGCCGGAGCCAAAAGAATTTTTTCGGGTGCCACGCTCAAGAACCTGGATTTTGAGCCAAAAAGGAAAAAAATATTTTTTCTACTGACATTTCATAATACGCTATTAAACGATTAAAATCTGTATCATAATGAACTGCATTACGATACAGATTTTCATTATAATACTCATTTTTAATATTATACAATGTTGATAGATGGCAGCACCAGTTAAGATATTATAGCTACTACTGCTATGTGTTTGCTTGATATATCACCAGCGAATGAAAACACTGTTTTACTAATAACTCGGTTTAATTCTGGGCACTGAACATACAAATAAATCGAAATACTTTATTTTGTTAACAACAACAACACGATATCATAATTGCGCGGCAACAAGCTGACTAGAAGTAAACAACAACCTGGGACAGCTGTCTTCTGTCACGTCACGTCAGGCCGCCAGGGTTGTACACAATAGTTGAGCCATCCAGGGTTGAACACAACGGACTCGCGGAACAATGACGCCACATCTACTCCCCTCCCAGTGACGAAGCCACTTGTGGGAGGAACGAAACCTTCTTTTTTGAGTAAGTGCGAAGAGGGCGGTCCATGGTGAAGGATGACGCTGGGTGATTCTCCAGGGTGGATGAAACGGTATCGGGTTTAAGGGTGTAGGCTGGCTTCAGGGCGTCCACAGAGACAGTCTTCTCAACGCCATTGATTCGAATGCTGTACACTCGGTCATTTATTCTCTTGACGACTTCATGCGGGCCAGTGTAGGGCGGTTCGAGCGGGCGACGAACAGACTCCACTCGGCGGAAGACATGACTGCAAGTTGCGAGGTCCTTGAGGATGAAGCATCGAGATTTGATATGGTGAGCCGTAGGTGTTGGGCGGACTTTCCTGATGTGGTCCCGGTATTTTTCGAGGAAGACTTGGGGATCAGCTGGGGGTGACTCAGAGGTGAAGAATTCACCAGGTATACGCAGGGGTGTCCCATAAAGGAGCTCCGCTGGTGAGGCATTCAGGTCTTCTTTCAGGCACGTACGCAGACCCAGAAGAACGGTCGGAAGCACTTCCGTCCAGGGCGTGGGTGCTTGACACATAAGGGCTGCCTTCAAAGTCCTATGGAAGCGCTCTACGATGCCATTGGACTGCGGGTGATAGGGCGTGGTGTGGATTACCCGCGCTCCTACAAGGCGTGCAAGAGCCGAAAATAGTGAAGATTCAAATTGCGTGCCCTGGTCAGTTGTGATGGATAGTGGCGTTCCGTAGTTGCAAATCCAATTGACATAGAGAGCAGACGAGACGGTGTCAGCTTCCATGTTCTGGAGGGGTACTGCAACAGGCCATCTAGAAAATCGATCAATTATGGTTAAGCAGTAACGAAATTTGTTGACTTGTGGTAAAATGATGAGGTCTAGGTGAATATGCTCGAATCTGTTGTCAGGTACGGTGATGTGCTGTGGTGCGAGACGATTGTGTCGTTGAATTTTGGATTTTTGACACTGAATGCATTGGCGGGACCACTGGAGGGCGTCCTTCTTGATTCCAGGCCAA